GACCGCTCTTGACCGGGACCGCTCTTGACCGGGTTTGGTTGGCCGGCAAAAACGGCCTAGCCCTAGACCCGGTCCGAGTCCGGGCCCGGTCCCAGTCCGGTCCCGGAACGAAGTACGACGCGACGACCGACTGGAAGCGTCTGCCCGCCTGCTCGGGCGAACAGACAGCGCCGGAACCCGGGACCGGGTAGGGACCGTTTCTCATCTCTGCCCGCTCACCATGTCCACAGAGAGTTCAAAACTCGGTCCTGCTTTACGAGTGGTGATCTCCCGCAAGGCAGACGGTCAAGTCCACCTCTTCAACGCGCTGAAGCACGGGTCGCATAACACGGGAAATCACTGAAAACGTCAATAAACGCGGCGCGGAGCGACCATTTTTGGCTATTTCTCGTGTTATCTGACCCGGGCTGCAGCGCGTTGAAGAGGTAGACCTGAACGCCTGCCTTGCCCAGCCGACGAGAGACCACGACCCGTATAGCAGGACCGAGTTCTGATATCTCCAATAGGAAGAGGAGCGGACAGCCTAGTGGCGAGCGTGCCGCGCCGTGTTCCAGTGCCCCCCTTCGGCCCGGGTTCGAGTCCCGCCCGGAGGATATTTTTTCGCGTTTGTGTCTGGTCGCCGTGCCTATGTTCGCAGGTTCGGATCCCGCCCGGGGAACAATTTCCGCCTTGCTGGCCGTCGGGCGTCAGCGACATTGGAGAGGGACTTGACGGTTGAAGCATGTTCTTGTATCTTGCCTCCATGGCTCAGCTGGTAGAGTGGATGCTCGTGATCGGGGTGGTCGTGGGTTCGAATACTCCCCGTGGTTCATATTTCCCGAGTTTGCCCTAGGTGGCCTGTAGAGACATATAGGCAGAAGCGGACTCAGGCTCACTACTAGCAGCCAGTGGCCGCGTGGGTTAAGGCGTCTGGGACTGATCGCTTCGGTGTGGGAACGACTCCCACCCGAAGCGGGTGGTCCGCGACTTTTCTCGCTCCTCCGCTCTCTATTGCGAAGGGGCGAAGTCACAAACAAGACTCTCGCAGCGATCGACAGTAACGTGGCGCCGTAGCTAAGTCGGTAAAGGGCCAGCTCGGGAAACCGATGATCAGGGGTTCGAGGCCCACCAGGAATTCGTTTTCCACTTTCCGTTTGCAACGGCCGGGCGAAGGCAGCTCAAGTATGATCCAGACGCCGTTGACTCTCGCCGCCTCGGTAGTGTATTGGATATCGCCTCTGTGGTTGGCCCCGTCCCCCCCGGGGGTTGTCGGTTCGAATCCTCGGACCGGCAGCCCTCTCCCCTCCCCTCCCTCCCCCCGGGTCCAACTAGAGAGGCGATATCCGATAACAACCGAGGCTCATTTTGCCCTTTTTTTAAAGTCTAGGTTAGGTTAGGTTAGGTTAGGCTAGGCTTTGTTCAGATGGCAAAATGAGCCTCGGTTGTTATCGGTTAGCGCCTCTCTAGTTGGACCCGGGGGGAGGGAGGGGAGGGGAGAGAGCCGCCGGTCCGAGGATTCGAACCGACGACTCCCGGGGGGACGGGGCCAACTACAGAGGCGCTAACCAATACACTACCGAAGCGGCGAAAGTTAACAGCGTCTGGATCATACTTGAGCTGCCTTCGCCCGGCTGTTGCAAACGGAAAGTGGAAAACGAATTTCTGGTGGGCTTCGAACCTCTGACCATCGGTTCTCCGAGCTGGCGCTCTACCGGCTTAGCTACGACGCCACGATACTTTCGGTCGCTGCGAGAGTCTTTCTTGTTCGTTCGTTCCTCCGTAATAGAGAGCGGAGGAGCGAGAAAAATCGTGGACCGCCCGCTTTGGGTGGGAGTCGTTCCCACGCCGATACGATCAGACGCAGACGCCTTAGACCACGCGGCCACTGACTGTTGGTGATGAAGTCTCGACTGCTTCTGCATATGTCTCTACAGGCCACCTGGAACGAACTTT